GATCTGTTGCTCTTCTACTTATTTTGGGATCAAACTTAATATTCTTGTCAGTATAGATTAAGTAATGACTATTTTTCAGATAAATAAATTAATTGTTTACACATTTAAATGTCAGGAAATAAAAAAAACATCTTCATTTCCAAAAGTCTAAGAGGAGATATTCAACGTGCTTCTTTAATCTGAACAACACTAAACAGTATTTGATATTAAATTATATAAAACTGAGAAGAAAGTCTTTATTTAACCAATTTCTCTGAAACACTGACTCTGTGTTCTCCTTCAGTGATGCTCACAGTACATCATAACTCCCTGTAGTGATATTACTGTGAGTCAATAACCTCTAAAGTGTGTTTGTGCAGAGATCCCCTCAGTGTCTCTGCTCCAGAAGTCCCCCTCCTCTCCAGTCAGCTGCCACGCTACAGGTTTCTACCCGGACAGAGCCCTCATGTTCTGGACCAGAGACGGAGAGGAGCTTCACGAAAACGTGGACCACGGAGAGATCCTGCCCAACCACGACGGATCCTTCCAGATGAGCGTGGACCTGGACGTCTCCTCATTCCCCGCTGAACACTGGGACAAGTACCGATGTGTGTTCCAGCTCTCTGGGGAGGAGGACCACGTCATCGTACTGGACTCAGCTGGGATCAGGACCAACAGAGGTAAGACTGCATCACAACGGCTCAACGGTTACTAACAATCAACAGACCCTGACAACATGTCATAGTCTCTCTCTCCTGAAACATGGGTCTCAGGGGAGAGAGACTAAGAATGGTTCAAGACAAACCCAGCATGACACCACGAGGAGAAAGGGGCCCTTCAGGAGCCTCAGACCTGATGCCCATCCTGAAGAAGCTTCCTTCCTCCGTTCAGATTGAGACTTCCTGTTGTTTCTGCTCCACAGGGAATCCTTACCGCCTCCTCTTCATCCTCGGTGGTGCTGCTCTCCTCCTCGCTCTTGTCATCGCTGGGATTGGATTCCTGGTTTACAGGAAGAGGAACGGTGAGAGACCAATCAGAAACCTTGTCTCATGAGTTCTCAGTGTTGTTAATGTAAGGCTTTGAGGTATCAGATCAAACTCAGAGCTCAGTGTAATGTGGATATGGAAAGCACTTGGTGTGTTTTCTACAGGGATAATCAGTGTGGTCTAGTTCCTTGTTGTGTACGGGGCGGTGGATTGAAACACTTTCTCTGCTTTTCCTTTCAGCCAATAACAACACTCCCTCTCCTGTCTCCAGCTCTGAGCTCACTGAGAGACTGAACCAGCCATCAGAGTGAGGGGCTTCACATCAACTCTCCACCTGTTGTTACAGAGCTGCCCTCTTTATTAGGGCTGTTCAAATGAATCGTTTCTACGATGCATTGCGATGCGGACGTGGACGATTCTGCATCGATGCAGTGACAGAACATAATCGATTAGCGTAGTGACGTTGCTTCTGGATTTTCCGTTAGCTCACAGCAGAGTTTATTCTCCCGTTAACTCACGGCAGCTGGAAAGTATTCTTTGTCTGACTGTCACACAGCAGCTGATAAATACCCCCCCCTCCATAAGTGAATGTGTGTCAGTCTGAATTGACGCTGTTTGGCATCACAACACTGTTATGAAAGTTTCTCTGGTATAAAATGGCTGATGTTAGCATAGTGTGACAGTGTAAATAAAGAATGTTTGTTTTTATTAAATCCTGTTAAACTGGGACTACAGCCATAGTTTTTGAGCCGCAGCCGGAAGCTAGTGTTGCGCTGAATCTGCATTTACTGTTATATTTTATGTTAAACTGAATGTCTTTAGATTCCGTAGTGTATTACTTTTTTTAAATAATTGTACATAAACTGAGTGAGCCATTTTCCAGCTAACTAGTTAGCCGCTAACGGTGTGAAGGAGTGCATGTGGCATGGACGTCAATGATTTGCTTTGCAGACTGAGCAACATCCCACTGTTTATTTGGCTCAACTGTGGATGTGTGTGTTTGTCCCGTGTATTACAGGTATGTTTACTTTGAGCCTGTTTTATTGAGCTGTAATTTATGTGTATTAAATATGACTGCTATATTTTGTAGTTATCACAAGATGGCAGCATAGCTTTAATTTAAACACAGTTGTAAATATTATCTTGATCTGTGAGTACTGTTCATGTAGGTACTTACTTTAGTTCATCTTTATTGTGACTCACAATTACAAACCAAATTGTTTTATGTTTGTAATTGTTGTTTTTGGTTTTCTTTACATTTTTATTTAGAACAGGGTTGCCAACTCTCACGCATCTGGCGTGTGACACACGCTTTCACTCTCAATCTCACGCTCTCACGCTGCCCTAACTATTCTCACGCCAAAAACAAGATGAACCGGCGATCGTTTTTGGTTGGTTATTTACAATGTTGAGTTGACAGCTGCTCAAGCTGTCGATCCGCTCCCTCCCCGCCCCCACCACTCTTAACAACGTTAACAGACAGCAGAGCAGTGGGAATCGACCCGTATTGCGCATGCGCAGATCTAAGATCCAGTAGAAATGATAAAAAAGTAAAAGTCTGCTGCTTATTGTTCTACTAGGCCAAAATAGAGTCACAGAGTATATGAGAGTGAGAGTGTGTTAATTAATATATTTGGCAGTTTGGAGTAAGTCTGTAGATTTGTTTGTGTGTGTGTGTTTCATGTATAGGCCTCTCACGATAATTAATTTTGTTGGATACATTTTCCCGGAAATTATTGCGATAAACGATAATATTGTCGGCACCGTTGTATCACCATTTTAGACCACTGACATAATGATAATATATAATAATAATTCAAGTACATCCTTTCAAACTGCTAGTCACATCCTCATGTAAATGGCAATTTATCGAGGTCAGAAAAGTTATCGAGTTCATTTTTATTTATCGTACGATAAGTCAATTAATTGCTTATCGCGACAGGCACACAATAAAACAGTGGAAACATGTGTTTGACTTTCATTAGTGAATGAAACTGTGTGCCCTTTATAGTCTGTGTCCATTATTGTGTATTTGTATATATTGTATATATATCCTATATATATGCTAAGGTCCCGCTGCTGACACGATAGCAGTCATTTAGTGCGCATATGTGTAATCAAACCCATGATATCAAAATCTCACTCCAGCCAGGTACCCAAAGTTGGCAACCCTGATTTAGAATCCTTTTTCTTAAGAAAAATGTTACCACTATACGATCATCAGTGTCAAAGGATTCTTAGCTTCGGACTGAGCAACATCCCACTGTTTATTTGGCTCAACTGTGGATGTGTGTGGTTGTCCCGTGTATTACAGAATAAAACCTGATAGATATCTCAACCTGGCTCCTGTGGACTAATATAAAGCAACAGCAAAGCAGGACACAAGTGTTAGCATAGCAACCGAAGCTAAACTGACTATTGACTACTTGTTGCTATCCTATTGTGGCATAAGCCGTTTTCTACAGGCACATTTTACCGGCTTATTTTTCATTATGATTCTACTTGTGATAGTCGGACATGACAACCTGTACAGCCCATGCATTGATTCCATCCGATAGCTGCTATAATACAAAACAAAACGTCTGCCTGCTCTCCACAATGATCAATAACAGCGAATGGATGGTCAAAGTAAGGTACAAATAAACAGAATCACACGAAGCCTGGTTAGTGTTGCCTCACTTTATAAAGTGTGGTTTTTTGGCCCTGGAACCGGTTTGGTGGAAAAGAGGTATGAGTGCTGTTAAGAGAAGTTTGTGTTCTCTAGTTACACACACAGACACACACACACACACACACACACAGTTCATGTATCAGTGTAAATATTCAGCTTGTTTATGTTTGGATCCGGCCAGGTAGAAGCGAGTGATATTGTTTTCCCTTTGCTAAGTTGCTCTGCATTGTTAACCCTTTCCTGTCCGTGTTTCACTTTCCAATAAAAACCCATCTCCCAAATGTCCGTCTTCTCGTCTTTCCATCAACACATGTATTGGTTTCTACTAGCGTCTCAGACACTAGAGGAAAGTGGATTTGATGTGAAACTAAAGATCCAATGGTTTACTGCTTTCTAAAAAGAAACAAATGGAAATGTTCTCTAATGGAGGAACATTTAACAAAATAAAGTAACTCTGAGTGATGTATTGATCTCTGTAATGTGTGTGTTATCAGTGTGTGTCGCTATCACTCAGCTGTTCTCAGAGCTCCTGCTTCAGAAACCTGTTGAGGTGAAATCTGCCCGGCAACTGATGACGTTACCATGACGACTGGGAATAATACAGTTCTGTGTTGTTAGGAACATTTAGTGACGCTCAAACATTACCTTTGGGTTTCCATTGATCTGAAGTCATTTCCATCAGAGACACTTTCACTTACAAACTCAATCACATTTAGAAACCTGTCAATACTTCCTTTAGTTACCTTTCCATATTGATCACCTTTATTTACCTTTCCATATTGATCACCTTTATTTACCTTTTCATATTGATCACCTTTATTTACCTTTTCATATTGATCACCTTTATTTACCTTTTCATATTGATCACCTTTATTTACCTTTTCATATTGATCACCTTTATTTACCTTTTCATATTGATCACCTTTATTTACCTTTCCATATTGATCACCTTTATTCACCTTTTCATATTGATCACCTTTATTTACCTTTTCATATTGATCACCTTTAGTTACCTTTTCATATTGATCACCTTTAGTTACCTCCTCTCTTCATATTGATCACCTTTATTTACCTTTCCATATTGATCACCTTTATTTACCTTTTCATATTGATCACCTTTATTTACCTTTCCATATTGATCACCTTTATTCACCTTTTCATATTGATCACCTTTATTTACCTTTTCATATTGATCACCTTTAGTTACCTCCTCTCTTCATATTGATCACCTTTATTTACCTTTCCATATTGATCACCTTTATTTACCTTTTCATATTGATCACCTTTATTCACCTTTTCATATTGATCACCTTTATTTACCTTTCCATATTGATCACCTTTATTTACCTTTTCATATTGATCACCTTTATTTACCTTTCCATATTGATCACCTTTATTTACCTTTTCATATTGATCACCTTTATTTACCTTTTCATATTGATCACCTTCATTTACCTTTCCATATTGATCACCTTTATTTACCTCTTTTCATATTGATCACTGTTACGGCTGCTGTTTCTGTCTGCTCGTTAACCTGTCTGAGATTGTTTGCAGCTGTGTGTAAAATGTAAATGAGCTGTGTGGTTGCCCTAATGTCGTGGGCTGTCATCTCCTGGTCCTCCTCCGAAGACGCTGATTGGAGCACGCCGGGCCCGACGCTCTCCAATCCCCGTGCAATCCCAGAGCACACCTTCCGAAGATTACTACAAAGCCTGGGGACAATTATCACTCAGGAGGCTCTGCTGCAATCAGACGCCTCATACCTTTTGCTCTTGTGTCGTGGACACTACAGACTGTGTTTGGTGTGATATATGTGCTTAGTGTCGTGTGTTATGTGCTTAGTGTCGAGTGTTATGTGCTTAGTGTCGAGTGTTGATATATGTGTTTTAAAGTGGTGGGTTTAGTTTATTTTGTTAGCTGTGTTTTCCTGCAGCTCCTTCCATTAGTGCTGATTGGAAGTGATCTCAGGTGTGATAACTAGGCTCATGTTTTAGAGTCCTTTTTCTGTTATTAGCAGTAGACTGGCACCCTTTTGGCTTCTTTGTTTAGCTTAGGTTACCTTTGCTCCCTTTTTGTTGTACACCTTTGTGTTATTTCATTAAAACCCTATTATAATTACTTACCAAAACCATCTGGTGTGTGTTAACTTACTCATCCCTAGTGGGTTCGTAACAATCACCTTTATTGACCTCCTCTTTTCATATTGATCACCTTTATTTACCTCCTCTCTTCATATTGATCACCAGAATATCTCACACTGAGTTCTGCCTGGAAACTCATTAATATTTAATTACCAATTTATAAAATCAACAAACCTAAAAACGAAATTCGCCTCAAACTGCTCTCCCTCCTCTCTCCTTTCTGTGACCCTGCTCCACCGTTCTGATCACTTCTTCATCTCCTTCTCTCTACCTGTCCTCTAACCCTGTCCTCTAACACTGTACCTGTCCTCTAACCCTGTCCTCTAACACTGTACCTGTCCTCTAACCCTATCCTCTAACACTGTACCTGTCCTCTAACACAGTGCTTCTCAAACTTTTTTCAGTAATGTACCCCCTTTGAAACATTTTCTCAGCCAAGTACCCCCTGACCGACCCCGAACATTTTTGATAGAAAAAGCCTATATAAATAATTACAATATAGTGATGTTCCATCAGTGTGTGATTTATGAACTCCTTCATCCATGAATTACAACAAACAAAGAACATAACGACAGATTTTTAAGTAATAATTATATGTTTAACGAACCAATGAACAAAATGTTATATTATGCAAAAACTATAAAATACAATAAACGAATATTATAATAAAATGTGGTGCCTGATGTGCTACCATCCAAAACCCCATGCATAAACAAGAAAACAGCATTAAATAAGCAGTCACAATGCATGAAAGGGTTAAAAACAAAACAAAACATTGTAACAAAAATGTGCAATTACAATAAAAACTACGTAATAACACTGCAATGACACTATTAATGAGTTTTAGTTGCATTAAACTGCATTTGAAAATAGAAAATACAATTTAGTGTCAAAACATTGGCAAAAAAACCAAACAATTGTAATAATAAATAAATTATAAATTGCAATAACACTAACAAGTAATAATAAGAGCACTTTAGCACTCAATTTAGTGTAAAACGTGTGCTTGTCCTTCACTGAGCATCTTGGTCATCCTTGGTGGCAGAGAGGACACAGCAGTGATCAGACTCTTTTCCAGGCCCAGTCTGTTTCTCTGCTTTGTTTTGATCAGAGTCATTGCAGAGAAGGAGGCCTCACACAAATATGTGGATCCAAAGGGCAGTAGCTGCTCCAAAGCTGTTTTTCCCAGCTCAGGATGCTCCTTTTTCACACACACCCAAAACTGCGTGAGAGTGGAGTTTTCAAATGTCATCTTTAGGCCGCGGTCAGATGACACATCCAAGAGTTTTTCCTGGTGACAGAGAGGAAGCTTTTCTCTGTTTGCTTCTGACAGAAGAAATGGGTTTCTTACCCAATCAAGCTGTGCAGGTTTATCCTCCATGTCAGGAAAGTACGACTTGAAACTAACTATCAGGTTGGCCAAGTGTTCCTCTATAATGGACTTGACTGGAGCGCTCTGCACATCCTCACTGGAGAGGAAAGCATCTACCTGAGGAAAGCAGGTGAGATCCCCCTGTGTACATGCCCGTTTCCACAACTCTGCTTTCTTTACGAAACCACCCACCTTGTCATACAGGTTCAGAATGTTGGTGTTCTTTCCCTGCATGCACACATTCAGCTCATTCAATTTGCTGAATATATCTGCCAGATAGCAAAGCTTTGCAAGCCAATCTGTGTCCTCAAACAGTGTGGCATAGGGAGATCCTTGCTCTGACAGAAAGGTGTGCACCTCCGATCGTAACTCCAACAGCCTGCTCAGTATCCTCCCCCGAGAGAGCCAGCGCACTTCTGTGTGTAGCAGTAGTTGGGTGTGTTCAGCTCCCATGTCCTCGCAAAGGCGGTGAAACAGACGCGCATTGAGTGGCCTTGACTTTATGAAGTTAATAACTTTGATGCTGTTGTTCAAAACGTCATGCAACACAGGACTCAGCTTTTTGGCCGCCAGTGCTTCCCTGTGTATGACACAGTGATTCCACTGCACTTCTGGATTTTTATCCCTAATACGTGCCATGAGCCCTTTAAATCGGCACGTCATTGAGGCAGCTCCGTCAGTACAGGTACAGTTTCTCCAGTCCAGCTCGTTTTCAATAAAGAAATCATTCACAACATTAAAAATGTCCTCCCCCGTTGTTTTCCCCTCTAAGGTCTTGCAGAAAAGCACATTTTCATAAATGTCGTCAGTATCCACGTATCTCACGAAAGCAATGAGCTGAGCCTTACCGCTGACATCGGTCGATTCATCAAGCTGGAGTGAAAATGTTTCGCCAAGTTTTCCCACAACTTGTTCAACAATATCTGCTCCCATTCGTTCTATTCTGCGTGAAACGGTGTCATTAGAAGCACCGTTTTGAACTTCTCCGCGGCACTTCTGTCCAGCATCGTCTCGGCCAAAACAACAGCAGCTGGGAGTAACAGGTCCTCAGCGATCGTGAACGGCTTTTTGGCTTTAGCGATGAGCAGTGATGCCGCATACGATGCCTCTAGTACCGAAAACCGGTTCTTGCTGGCCTCATTCGGCTGCCGAAGTACCAATACTTCACACTTACGTCGGAGGGGGGCGAGAATAACCTGAGCAATAACAGTTAATGGCGAGTACGGCAAATACAAGTTGTACCAAGCATAAGCAAAAAAGCATTTTTTGTATTAACCTTTTTTATTGTTTTCTCTCGCGTACCCCCTGCAGTACCCCCACGTACCCCTAGGGGTCCGCGTACCCCCATTTGAGAATCACTGCTCTAACACTGTACCTGTAAACTCTGAACCAGTGTTTCCGCCAGACCAGGGCTGAGAGGGCGTCCACCCCGAGAGCGCACGTTCCGTGTTGTCCTGTAGCAGGCACCGCCGATGTCGGGGAAATGATCTTCAATACTCCGAAAAATAATCCCACCAGACTCCTTTGCCCCTCCAACAGAGGGATGTCCTTGTCCTTTTTCCTTTTCGTTATTTCAAGCGATAAAAACTCTCGATCTTCTCTCTAATTATTAATATTTTTGGACGCCCTCGGCTCGAGTTCAGGGCGTTCCGTCAAATGATGGCAAGACGCCCCCCTTGCGGAAACGCTGCTCTGAACAACAAGGAAAGTGCAGATTTATTCACTTCAAAGATACCATAGAGAGTTCTGGTGAATCAATAAAAGGCCTAAGCCAAGTCATTAAGGACATAAAGGAAATAGTTCATAAAAAAAGGAGCAAATATTAAATAAAAATAAACTTTTACAACATTAAAAAGTTGAATGAAATGTTTACCAAACATATATTTGTGTAAAAAATGAAGTACAATAATATGACAAATAACTATACAGAGAAAATCAATTATGATTTATTATGTTGACCAGTTTCAGAATAATGTATATATTATTGGTCTTTAATTATTATTATTAGCTAATAGCTGAAATGTGTTTTTGTTAGCCATGTCAAAGGATTAGTTTTTAATTAAACCAAAAACATTTCATCTGATTAATTTCATATTTTATGTTGTTTTATCTACTTTCGGTTTGTGTCTCAACGTGTGACGTGTTACGTTGTTGTCCGGTGGTCACTCCTGTCAGTGCGTGCGCGTGCGGCTCTTCGCTGAGAGGTGAGTCCGTTAAAACTCCGTCTTAAAATGTTCATACAAGTTATAAAAGTTGATTATGACGAAATGTATATTTTGTTTTCGTTTACGAGACGAGACGGGACTAAGGTGTTAATGGTGGACTATCGGACATTCAAAATGCAGGCCGTCTTATCTGTCAAAATGCAAAATACGTTTCTAACTTGTAATATCATTATTTCCGCTCTCTTCACTCCAGAAGAGCGATCTCCCTGTCTCTCTGTGTGCGGGGGGCGGGGCCTCACAGACAAGCTGCAGCGGCAGACAGATCTGCCGGGGACGGAGCGTTCAGAGAGTATAGAGAAACTCTACAAGGCTCGATGTGGACAAAGCTCGTTTCGTTTGCCATTAGTGTTTACGCGTAAGCGCGTTGACACGAGTAGAGTAGTCTGTCCAAACAGCCGGCCAAAAGGCGTCATATTCAGTCGGAGAAATGCACAATTTTCGACTTCCTTAACTTGTGGCTCTGTTGCCCCAATTACGAGTAACGTTATCACACCAGGTGCGCAGAGGTGGGAGAAGTACTCAGATCTTGTACTTGAGTAAAAGTAGAAGTACTCCGATCGTGTACTTGAGTAAAAGTAGAAGTACTCAGATATTGTACTTGAGTAAAAGTAGAAGTACTGAGATCTTGTACTTGAGTAAAAGTAGAAGTACTCAGATCT